GAACTGTGGAACAATAATGTAGTTCAGTAACTTATAATGGGAGTTTTTAGTTTACAATCTCTACATAGGCTAGTTTATTCAAGTTTATTTCTCCGAATAATGGCAAATCTACAAATCGATCGCGTGTTATGCTACTAAATTTAGATTTTGTCGTGCATTTGTGGGGAGGCGAAGGAGAGCTGCAACTACGCCTGGGCCATAACATGTTGAATTTCACGCTGGGCTGTGGATAAAACTTTTGGACAAACAATTAAAGTTAATTTATCATCGCCTCCAGCTCCATGGTCATTCCATACACGGTATTCTACCCAGCTATTTGGTGGTCAAAATTGTCGCGGATAATCCAGATGGTAAAGTAATCAGACTATTGTCCGAGTGGTTTTAGAAACTGTGTACCGGTGAATTAACTGGTAAATCGCACAGATATTTTTTCGCTTGAACAGGCCCATAGACATTAATTTTTATGGGTTCTGAGTATAGATAACCAGGCATTCTTTCACAGTCGAAAGCCCGGGTACACACTGCACCAGTTATTAGACTGCCACTGAATATCAGCAGATGGCATCTGTCACTGAGCTAACATCCTGTACAATTCTCATACAATGCTGTGTGTACTCGCCATATCTTGGGGAGATGCCTTATTGGTGACTGTAAAATGGTCAGAACCAGGCTAATTTCTGCCTATTGATCTGCCTCATGTTCTGGCTCACTTTCAGCTTTATCTGCTGACTCGCCTACAGTTTTATCTGCCACCTTGTCCAATGTATTTTTAGCGCCACTTGTAATGGCATCTGTAGTATCACATTTGTTAGCATTGTCAGCAGCCACTACACTAGTATTACCATCATTGCCACTGAAATCACAGTTATCCACCTTAATGTCTTCATCATCAGGGAATATTTGCATTCCTACAAAATAAATACATACATAGTATGAAGTACATGCCATGTCAATTCAATTAATTTAATTTTTGTAAGATGTAGATTTTAAATAAAACTTAGGCCTATTTATCATTTAATAATTTTACAGGTACATCGGGAGTGAAGGCTTCTTTCAAATACAGTAATTACCTTTATCAGTCATACGTGTGCGGAACTGGACACTGAAATTGACCATCTTAACCTTTGGCTGCTTGTGAATGCAACACTCACAGTGGTGCGGTTCAATAGGCTCGGTCTGAAACAAAATTGGATTAAATAGTTTGTTTCCATGTATTTGGCAAATTAATTATAGTACAAGAACATCATGATTTGTTCTAAATGTAGTATTGCATCACATTATAACATACAAACAACTCCCTGAACATAGTGTATAGGCTGACTGATACACACCAGTAGTAATATTAATTAGCTTGAGAGTATTTCTATATAATGCAAAAAAAAACAAAATACCTGGATTTGTGCTTCATTGGAGATGGGCACATCTTCAGCTGATGATGGACTTTGTTCTAGGTCTTCAAATTCTGAACAGTATAATCATTACAAACAACAAGTTAGAACGTCTGTTCAGTCATGTCTATAATTAGGCCTATACTGTGTAAAAAGTATAGACTAGGCCTAGCCTCCTGGAGTAGAAGTAATTTGCCTGTGTGTAGTAGTAGTAGGGATAGCCCTTGCCTATAAGCCGCGAAAGTGCTGGGCCTAAGTAAATTAGATAGCGCATACTGAGGGCTACACCACTACTAGTTCCGATTAAAAAGAAGAAAAAGGCCTAGCTAGGCGGGATAGGCTAGTGTGATACTATATAGCTACCCAGCAAACACAAAACGTTCGCGAACGTTGTGGTTAGGCCTAAGCCTATGTCACAAAATAACGTTCACACAATGTTGTAAAAACGTTCAAAAGTTGTGAAATTATAGTACGTACATATGGTTCTACAAAATAACGTTTTTATCACCAAACTCTAATGTTATTATAATGTTCTTAGAACGTAATATTGTTAGCCGGGTAGGGCCTAAGCTGTTAAACATCTAGGCCAACGCAACGTCGCACTCACCCTCGCTCTTTCCCTTTTCTCATAGGCCGTTGACCGACGACGTTTCTTCTTTTCGTTGCAAAGCAACTGTCCTGGGTGACTTGGCTTCATAAATATACTAGGAATTGTTCCTTTTTTCAGTCTCATGGTATTACGACCAGACAGCCCAATACTTTGAGCTAATACACTTCTCGGTTCGTAATCGTCCGGTGCAAAATGCTTACTGCATAAAACAGAATGAGCAGATCCTTGGAAGTGAAGCCTGGTTCTCGAGACTGCTTCATTCCACTTCTTCCTTAAAATTTCATCCTTTGGAAACTGGTGGAAACTAACATTGTATGAATGGTTGCTATCACAACCAGCAGCCACACAACGGGGCATACTGACACTTCAAATTAATCGGGAAAACTTTCTATAGAACTTTGTTTTGTGCTGAATACTATCGATCACTATATGTTTGTGTAGCCAATGCCGCGAACATCGAGTGTTATGTTGTAACTTGTACAGAGTGTATGTCATATCCGGTAAAGGTCAAATGTGGGTCAAATTCAGAAGGCGGGGCTTAGGACTACAGAATCCATAAAAATAGGTGATTAAAAACTCTTTTTTCAGAAAAACGCATTGTCTAAAAATAAAAGGAAAGCCACACATTTGTTTATTATATAATTCTTTATTGTTTTATGACATTTTGAAAGTAACAAGAACGTGTCATTTTAGATGGTCTTTAATTATAGAAAGTAACACAATTTCCACATGGCCTAGAATATTAGCTATTTTAAGTCAGTGGTGATGTAATTTTCATTTTCACATAAATTTTCTACCTATCTTGATTACTCTACATGCATATTACAGAGTTATATTAGTGCAAACTGAAAAGAAATAATATTGTGTTATTAAATCTATTTTAGTGTGAAAGTTTGTGAAGCTCAACATTTGGAGTAATATTATGCAAGGATGCTGGAAACAGGTAAAATATTGATAATGATAGTTGGTAATATATAGGCCTGCAATGCTATTTCACACACATAGTCATCATGCACAAAAGTAATCACAAAGTGGTGCTTCATTATCATCACTCATTAATAAATGCAAAATTCAGTCCTGGCATCTTTCCAAGCTGTGCATACATACAGTACATTCAACATAATATGTATTCTACATGTTTTCAAATTATTGCTTTAATAATGCAACCATTTGCATGATAAATAAATCCTGGATTAATAATAATTGAAGATTTTTAGTTATTTTAAATGTATACATTTATGTAGTAGGAAGACCGAATTCTATACATCTTGCTCAGTATACTTGGGTCAATAAATTTTATTTTGAGAATGTCTCGCCCTACAGTATGTGACCTTTTATCATTTGCATGTGAAATTTGGACATGCAGAACAGGTTTATGTTTATAGGGAGAATTTGATAACCTCTAATGTAATCATCAAGTGCTGAAAATTAATTATTAACAATATACTATTAAACTGTTTTTTTAATTTTATACATTACAATTATTATTTTTATCATTTAAATTTCCCCACAGAGTTCTCATCGATGCTGGTGCAACTTTCTGATGCAATCAGCAAGAAAGGTGAAAAGTATGTAGACCTGTTGAGGATTCTGTACAGAGATCTTGTAAATGTTAAATCAGATTTGGAGAAAGCTAAGTGTGCATTTGATTTATTTCAATTGCTAATAGCACCTGGCATTTTGAAGCCAACAGACATTTCAGTTTTGTTTGAAACAATTGAACTAACTGGATTGAAATATTTGATAGAGATAATCAAGAGATATGAGACATATCCTGATGAAGTGAAGATCACTCGATTTTCACGACATCGTCAACAGGTTGTTGCTCTGGGAAAAGACTTTTCAGTTAAAGATCTCCAGAAAGTTAGTCAGTTGTACGAAGGCAATTTTTCTAGTCCATGGAAACTGATTCAACATCTTGAAGATAAATCTGTTTTAACCGAAAATAGTATGTCATCATTTCTTCAGCGTTTGAATGAGAATAAAGTAAAGGAATGTACAGGTTAGTAATAAATATAGAATATCACATTTATCCATGCTTTTTGGACATGGCATTATTAAGTAGCTCTGCTTTTGTATTGTGGTAGTTCTTTAGTACTGTCGTTTACAATATGTATTTCCAATTTAATTATTAAATTCAATGAGATTTACTGTAGTCGTCATCATGAACTGCAGTAATGAGAATATGCCATTTCAGAATGCCAACCACTGTAAAATCGAAGTGATAATTGAGTATAGAAAAATAATAACAGATAAACAACAAATATTTATTTCTTTAAATTTATATAGGCCTTATAGAACCTTGACTAGATACAGTTACATATCCACTTTCATGAGTGATCATTAGGCCTAAAAAATAAATTGTTTGTTTGCCCTCCTTGTTTTTTTAAATAATAAAAAGGGAATGGTGCAAGAAGTTTTTGTTTTTTCTAAGATACTCATAGATGGAATAAAAGTAACACACAGAGGCCTAGAATGGCAATATATTACATCAGACAACAACTTAGTGCATCTGACAAAAAATAGAGATAAATTCACTCACATTTTTTTAATTTGTAAAGAAAGAACTTTAAAAAAAACTGTTTTTTTTTTTTTTGTCCCTACGTTTTTTCAGTGAGTTACTGTAGCAGCGGGTGGAAGAGGGCAAACAAACAATCTTTTATTTTGGCCTTTTTCATGTCCTAAATGTTTATAGGTTATGTATGTATATATGTTACGTATCACATGCAACTTAAGATTATGACTCTTACCTACCTGAGGTATTCTCATATTCAAAATCTTTACCTACTAAAATGTATTTTTTTCTTTACCTACCTACTATTTTCATTCTTTAACAACTGTTATTTTTCTTGCTTTCCACAATGTATACATGGCCAATAATTAATTCCATTAAATGAATAATATTAAATAAATAATACTTTATATTAATTTTGTTAAATAAATAATATTTGATTTATGAAATTTATATTTTTATGTCCTTGTCCGGACCCTTTAACGTCACTATTGGATAGGCTTATATTCATAAGGCTTCTGCGAATGGATAGCTTGTTCGAAGCAAGAAATCAAGTTGTCTTTACCCATTGCTGCTCGTATATTTTATTCGTGTGGGAAATTTTTAACCTATATTCCTAGGATGTTTTAATCTATAGATATACTTCCCCAACAAGTCTAGCTGATTTTTTTTTAAATTACTGCAAATTTGATCAATATAGATTCTAGAATTCATCAATGTTATAAAAAGATATTTTGAATGTAAGTGTCTCTGACTAGCTGTGATCAAGAGAGTTATGGGAATTTATTTTAATCTCTTAGAGACTATAATTATTTTCTTGAAATAGATTTTAATCAACTACTTGTCAGAATGTCCGATGCAATCAGCAAGGAAGGTGAAAAGTATGTAGACATGTTGAGGGTTCTGTACAGAGATCTTGCAAAGTTCAAAGTAGACTTGGAGGAAGCTAAATCTGCATTTGATTTATTCCAAATACTAAGAGTTGCTAACATTTTGAAAGCAACAGACATTTCCGTTTTATTTGAAACGATTGAAGTAACTGGATTAAGGTATTTGGAGGAGATAGTTAAGGTGTACGAGACATATCCAGATGAAGTGAAGATCACTCAATTTTCAGCACATCGTCAACATCTTGTTGCTCTTGGAAAAGACCTTTCTAGGAAAGCTGTTCAAAATATTGGTCGGGTGTACCAAGTTCCAGATGATTTCTGTTCTAATCCATGGAAACTAATCACATTTCTTGAAAGTGAGGGTATTGTTTCAGAAGATAAACTGCCATTGTTTCTCACGAATTTGAAAGGAGTTGGTGAGTATGACAATTATTTAATGATTTTATTTACAGTACCAAATTACCAATACTGTAATCTATTAAATTAAATTAGGTTACCACTGTTGGAGCCTGAGAGGTACTGTTAATTGATAGAAACCTAAGTTCTTGATATTGTCTCTCATTTCTTATAATTAGCAACAGATACACATTTAGAGAACGCAACTACAGTACTGTAAACTGATGATGTCTAAACATTGAATACTAAAAATGCATCACTGAAGCATTTTAATAAGAATTTAAACACATTCCTTGTGTCACAATAATTATTTTCAATAATTATTGTGACACTAGCTTTAGTCTCTGAAACAATAATTAATTTTTAACAAATAAATATTTGGGAAAGAAATACAAAAACACTAAAATTAAGTTAACACTTTAATTAAAATAACAGTTTATTATTATTGTAAATAATACCAAACATGCATCACTGATTTTTAAACACTCCTTTACATCACAATAATTATTTTCAATATAATTCTATTTGATTTAGTCTCTGAAACAATAGATAATTTTTAGCAAATAGCTGTAATAAAAAAAGAAATACACAAACATAGCAAAATATATGTTACCTTGTCAATTAAAATAAAGTTAATTATTATAGTAAATGATATAAATTCAACTAGTTAAACCGGTATTTTAATTAAGGTGCCAAATATTAATATTAAATAAGGTATACTCAACTGCATCAGGAAATCACTTTTATTGATGCACCTGAATCCTGTCGTGTCTTTTCTTAGTGGGGGGGGGGGGCTGTTACTTGAAGTAACAGTACACAATTTCCTGTGTTTTTATTACTATTTCATAAACTTCTTTACGGTGCCCGGTTTCTTATTTTTTGCTAATTATCTAGTCCCAAAGTATAGAATTTAGGTGCGTACGTTTATCAGTTCATATGTCCAAAAATACATTAGTAGTGTTTGGAACCTATAGCTAAAGCATTCTCCTGAGTAGGACAATTATTTTATGCTATGATCTACTTTAGTTATGCTGCTAACAATTTCCTCAATAGGTATTGGAGAAGAATCAACATCATTAAGTTAGAGAACTCAACTGATGACATCTAAACATTTAATACTAATAATGCGTCACTCAATCACTTTAATGAGGATTTATTTACTTCTTTACATCACAATAATTATTTTCAATATACTTGTAACCTATATTTAGTTTCTGAAACAACAGTTAATTTTTAACGAACATCAAAATAAAGACTTGCTCCAAGTCCTTTATTAATTTTTTTTCATGCTGGACAGCGTCACCAACAACCAAGTTTAATGTGAATAAAATTGCGCTATTTCAAAAACTTCTTTACAGCAGGGTTTCTTGTTTTCTATAGTACTATTGGCTAGTCCCAATATATGGCCAGTATCACAATGTAAACTGACTAGAATTCAGGTGCTCACATCGATCAGTTTATTTGTACAATAACCATTTTTGGAACTTATAGCTAAGCTGTTCTCCTTAGGAAAAATTATGCTATGTATATTTTAGTTATGCTGCTAATGCACAGATTGTCAATTTCTATTTCCTCAATAGTTAATGAAAAAGCATCAACATCAAAAAGACAAAAATTAGACAAAGGTATGTAGTGTACTGGTTGCTGAATAATTACTTATTATATTGAATGAATATCTATAATGGTTATAACTATAGTTCTCTTGATATTTATTATAAATGTAAGTTATTCACAAGTATTTATTTGTAAAGAATATATTCCTTGCACAACCATGCTGTAGAAGCAGTTGGCGCATCAGTTGTGGCTTGGACTCCACAAACTTCAGGGGTTTGAAACTTGCGCTGTGCAAGTCGCTTGTGTTCTTGGGCAAGTCACTTTATCTCTCTACCCAGAAGTATAAATGAGTATTTGGTAGGATGTTGTGGCATTGAATGTACTAGTTTGTGTGCTATGTAAGTAGTGCACGACAAGGTATACTCCCCAGGGAGCAGAGAAGGTTGCACTTTTTGCTGGTTTGCCATTGTATGTTATCCAGTGACCAGGGTAATAACGCTCAGCACCTTTGATCATATAATTTGGAATTGGTGCTATATAAATATTTAAACACTATATAAATATTTAAGCACTAATAGAAAAACCAAACAAAAAATTTTTTCTAGTAGCTTTATCTGGTTGGTTACAATTTTAGAACTGTTTGATTAAAACCAAACAAAATTTGATGTAAACTTACTGCGAGCTTTCGTTACGTAGCCGCTTTAAACTAAATTTGTGATGACGCGCCAGCTGCCTTGCTACAGTGCATCTAAGCTCAGCAACAGGCCATTGTAATACATAGAATTAGGACAATTCTAGACGAGTTCTTTGTTTTATTACTATCC